AGGGTCCCCACTCCCTCTGAGGGGACATCAGGTGGTGGGAACACCAAGGGGACAACCTGGAGCCCCGTCCCCCGCTGTTGGGACCTTCTTCTCCTGCTTCTGCCGAGCTCCCAGCCCCCCCGTGGTTGTGCAACACGAGGGTGCACCCCTTGTGCAACGGTTTGTGCACCCAGGGGGAGGGACCAGCGGCCACGAAACAGCGTCAGCGGCAAAAAAAGGGGAAGGGACCACCCTGTCCCACCCCCTGCCCAAGCAGGGTCACCCCCAGCAGGTCCCACAGGGTCAAATCCAGGTGGGTTTGGGATCTCTGAGGAGAAGGAGACCTCACACCCTCCCTGGGCTCTGCCACCTTCAAAGTACAGAAGTTCCTCCTTGTGTTGAGGTGGAACTTCATATAGAATCCCATGGGGCTGGAAGGGACCTCTGGAGACCACCCTGTCCCACCTCCTGCCCAAGAAGGGTCACCCAGAGCAGGTCCCACAGGATCAAATCCAGGTGGGTTTGGGATCTCTACACAGAAGGAGACCCCACACCTTCTCTGGGCAGCCTCTTCCAGGGCTCTGCCACCTTCAAAGTATAAAAGTTTCTCCTCATGTTGAGGTGGAACTTCATATAGAATCCCATGGGGTTGGAAGGGACCTCTGGAGATCACCCTGTCCCACCTCCTGCCCAAGAAGGGTCACCCCCAGCAGGTCCCACAGGATCAAATCCAGGTGGGTTTGGGATCTCTGTGGAGAAGGAGACCCCACCACCTCCCTGGGCTCTGCCACCTTCAAAGTCCAGAAGTTCCTCCTCGTGTTGAGGTGGAACTTCATACAGAATCACGTGGGGTTGGAAGGGACCTCTGGAGATCATCTAGTCCAACCCCCTGCCACAGTAGGTCCACCCAGAGCAGGTCCCACAGGAACATGGCCAGGTGGGTTTGGGATGTCTCCAGAGATGGAGACCCCACCACCTCCATGGGCAGCCTCTGCCAGGGCTCATGGTCACTTCCTGTGGCCCAGTTTGTCCCAGTTTGTCCCCGTTGTCCCTTGTCCTGTCCCTGGGCACCACTAAGAAGAGCCTGGCCCCATCCTCTTGTCCCCTCACCCTTCAGCTCTTGCTCAGCATCGATGGGTTCCCCTCTCAGCCTGCTCTTCTCCAGCTGAACAGCCCCAGGTCCTTCAGCCTTTCCCCAACTCCAGCTCCTCATCATCCTCACACCCCTTTGCTGGACCCTCTCCACCAGTTCCCTGTCCTTCTGGACCTGGGGGGCCCAGAACTGGTCCCAGTCTCCATCTGTGGCCCCCCCAGGGCAGAGCAGAGGGGGGGTGACCTCCCTCCACCTCTTCTAAACACACCCCAGGCTCCCCTTGGCCTTTTTTTGGCCACAAGGGCTTGAGGGCAACTTGCCCCAGCCCAGCCCTGGCCTTTACCGCGCTCCGGTCCAAGAAGATGTTCCAGATGTCCCTGCCCAGGCCCCGGGAGTCCTTGGGGGGCACCTGCTGGCAAACCTCGGCGCAGAGGTAGAAGAGCTGCGGAGAGAGGGGAGGAGGAGGAAGAGGAAGGTTTAGAAGCCGAGAGATAAAGGGCTGGGTGAGGCGGCGCCCGCGGAAGAAGAGGAGGAAGAGGAAGGTTTAGAAACACGGAGATGAAGGGCTTGGTGAGGCAGCGCCTGGGGAAGAGGAGGAGGAGGAGGAAGGTTTAGAAACAGGGAGATGAAGGGCTTGGTGAGGCGGCGCCCGCGGAAGAAGAGGAGGAAGAGGAAGGTTTAGAAGCTGGGAGATGAAGGGCTCGGTGAGGTTTTGCCCATGGAAGAAGAGGAGGAGGAAGGTTTAGAAACCGGGAGATGAAGTGGTGCCTGGAGAAAAGGAGGAGGAAGAGGAAGGTTTAGAAGCTGGGACATGAAGCAGCACTGGGGGAAGAAGAGGAGGAAGAGGAAGGTTTAGAAGCCGGGAGACGAAGGGCTTGGTCAGGTGGCGCCCATGGAAGAAGAGGAGGAAGAGGCTCGGTGAGGTTTTGCCCATGGAAGAAGAGGAGGAGGAAGGTTTAGAAACCAGGAGATGAAGGGCTCGGTGAGGTGGCCCCCTTGGAAGAAGAGGAAGAGGAAGGTTTAGAAACTGGGAGATGAAGCGGTGCCTGGGGAAGAAGAGGAGGAGGAAGGTTTGGAAGCCAGGAGATGAAGGGCTCGGTGAAGTGGCACCCGGGGAAGAAGAGGAGGAGGAGGAAGGTTTAGAAACCAGGAGATGAAGGGCTCGGTGAGGCAGCACCCATGGAAGAAGAGGAATAAGAGGAAGGTTTAGAAGCCGGGAGATGAAGCGGTGCCCAGGGAAGAAGAAGAGGAGGAAGGTTGAGAAGCTGGGGGATGAAGGACTCGGTGAGGTGGCGCCCATGGAAGAAGAGGAAGAGGAAGATTTAGAAACCGGGAGATGAAGAGCTTGGTGAAGCGGTGCCTGGGGAAGAAGAGGAGGAGGAAGGTTTAGAAGCAGGAAGATGAAGAGCTCGGTGAGGCGGCACCCAGGGAAGAAGTGGAGGAAGAGGAAGGTTTAGAAGCCGGGAGATGAAGGGCTCGGTGAGGCAGCGCCTGGGGAAGAAGAGGAGGAGGAAGGTTTGGAAGCTGGTAGATGAAGTGGCGCCCATGGAAGAAGAGGAGGAAGAGGAAGGTTTAGAAGCTGGGAGATGAAGGGCTCGGTGAGGTTTTGCCCATGGAAGAAGAGGAGGAGGAAGGTTTAGAAACCGGGAGATGAAGTGGTGCCTGGAGAAAAGGAGGAGGAAGAGGAAGGTTTAGAGACCAGGAGATGAAGGGCTCGGTGAAGTGGCACCCGGGGAAGAAGAGGAGGAGGAGGAAGGTTTAGAAACCAGGAGATGAAGGGCTCGGTGAGGCAGCACCCATGGAAGAAGAGGAATAAGAGGAAGGTTTAGAAGCCGGGAGATGAAGGGCTGGGTGAGGCGGCGCCCGGGGAAGAAGAGGAGGAAGAGGAAGGTTTAGAAACACAGAGATGAAGGGCTTGGTGAGGCGGTGCCTGAGGAAGAGGAGGAGGAGGAAGGTTTAGAAGCCGGGAGATGAAGCGGTGCCCAGGGAAGAAGAAGAGGAGGAAGGTTGAGAAGCTGGGGGATGAAGGACTCGGTGAGGTGGCGCCCATGGAAGAAGAGGAAGAGGAAGATTTAGAAACCGGGAGATGAAGAGCTTGGTGAAGCGGTGCCTGGGGAAGAAGAGGAGGAGGAAGGTTTAGAAGCAGGAAGATGAAGAGCTCGGTGAGGCGGCACCCAGGGAAGAAGTGGAGGAAGAGGAAGGTTTAGAAGCCGGGAGATGAAGGGCTCGGTGAGGCAGCGCCTGGGGAAGAAGAGGAGGAGGAAGGTTTGGAAGCTGGGAGATGAAGTGGCGCCCATGGAAGAAGAGGAGGAAGAGGAAGGTTTAGAAGCTGGGAGACGAAGGGCTCGGTGAGGTGGCGCCCGGGGAAGAAGAGGAGGAGGAGGAAGGTTTAGAAACAGGGAGATGAAGGGCTCGGTGAGGTGGCACCCGTGGATGAAGAGGAGGAAGAGGAAGGTTTAAAAACCAGGAGATGAAGCGGTGCCTGGGGAAGAAGAGGAGGAGGAAGGTTTAGAAGCCGGGAGATGAAGGTCCTGGTGAGGTGGTGCCCATGGAAGAAAAGGAGGAAGGTTTAGAAACCGGGAGATGAAGTGCTGCCTGGGGAAGAAGAGGAGGAAGAGGAAGGTTTGGAAGCCGGGAGACAAAGGGCTTGGTGAGGCAGTGCCCAGGGAAGAGGAGGAAGAGGAAGGTTTAGAAGCTGGGAGATGAAGAGCTTGGTGAGGTGGCACCCAGGGAAGAAGAGGAGGAGGAAGGTTTAGAAGCCGGGAGAGGAAGGGCTCAGTGAGGTGGCGCCCATGGAAGAAGAAGAGGAAGAGGAAGGTTTAGAAGCTGCGTTTCCCTCCCAGGAGCTTTGGGAAGGGGAAGGCCAGAAGGTCCCATCACACCAGCACCACCAGTCCCGCTTCCCTGGAACCACCAACCCCCCTCCCCCCCATTGAAATCTCCCGGGTCACAATCCTCCTCCGGGCCGATGATGAGAGGTCGCCCCGGCCGGTCCGACCCCTGCCAGGGAGAGGGGACAGAGTCAGGAGACGGACACCGCACTTTGTGTCCCACCCCGGGGACCTGCAGCGTCAGAGAATCCATCCCAGAACCATCAAAGGGACCTTCAAACCATAGAAGGGACCTCCAAACCATTGCATGGTCCTCCAAACCATTGAATGAAGGGACCTCTGAACCATGGAATGGTCTTCCAAACCATAGAAGGGATCTCCAAACCATCAAATGGTCCTCCAAACCATAGAATGGACCTCCAAACCATAAAAAGGACCTCCAAACCGTAGAAGGAATCTCTGAACCATAGAAGGGACCTCCAAACCATAAAAGGGACCTCCAACCACAGAAGGAACCTCCGAACCGTAGAAGGAACCTGAAGAAGAGGAGGAGGAAGGTTTAGAAGCCGGGAGATGAAGGTCCTGGTGAGGTGGTGCCCATGGAAGAAAAGGAGGAAGGTTTAGAAACCGGGAGATGAAGTGCTGCCTGGGGAAGAAGAGGAGGAAGAGGAAGGTTTGGAAGCCGGGAGACAAAGGGCTTGGTGAGGCAGTGCCCAGGGAAGAGGAGGAAGAGGAAGGTTTAGAAGCTGGGAGATGAAGAGCTTGGTGAGGTGGCACCCAGGGAAGAAGAGGAGGAGGAAGGTTTAGAAGCCGGGAGAGGAAGGGCTCAGTGAGGTGGCGCCCATGGAAGAAGAAGAGGAAGAGGAAGGTTTAGAAGCTGCGTTTCCCTCCCAGGAGCTTTGGGAAGGGGAAGGCCAGAAGGTCCCATCACACCAGCACCACCAGTCCCGCTTCCCTGGAACCACCAACCCCCCTCCCCCCCTGCGCTCCCAAATGATCCCAAATGATCCCAAATGATCCCACCCCCCGGATGGACCATCCCACCCCCCCAGCCCCCCATAACCATCAAATGGTCCTCCAAACCATAGAATGGACCTCCAAACCATAAAAAGGACCTCCAAACCGTAGAAGGAATCTCTGAACCATAGAAGGGACCTCCAAACCATAAAAGGGACCTCCAACCACAGAAGGAACCTCCGAACCGTAGAAGGAACCTCCGAACCACAGAAGGGACCTCCAAACCATCAAATGAAGGGACCTCCGAAACATAGAAGGGTCCTCCAAACCGTAGAAGGGACCTCCAAACTGTAGAAGGGACCTCCAAACCGTAGAAGGGACCTCCAAACTGTAGAAGGGACCTCCAAACTGTAGAAGGGACCTCCAAACTGTAGAAGGGACCGCCAAACCATCAAATGAAGGGACCTCCAAACCATAGAAGGAACCTCCAAACCGTAGAAGGAACCTCCAAACCATCAAATGAAGGGACCTCCAAACCACAGAAGGGAGCTCCAAACCATAAAAGGGACCACTCTTTGGGACCTTCCACCAGTTGGATTTAACTCCGTTGAGCACCGCTCTTTGGGACCTTCCACCAGTTGGATTTAACTCCGTTGAGCACCGCACTTTGGGACCTTCCACCAGTTGGATCTAACTCCGTTGAGCACCGCTCTTTGGGACCTTCCACCAGTTGGATCTAACTCCATTGAGCACCGCTCTTTGGGACCTTCCACCAGTTGGATCTAACTCCGTTGAGCACTGCTCTTTGGACCATTCTTTGGGACCTTCCACCAGTTGGATCTAACTCCATTGAGCACCGCTCTTTGGGACCTTCCACCAGTTGGATCTAACTCCGTTGAGCACTGCTCTTTGGGACCTTCCACCAGTTGGATCTAACTCCGTTGAGCACCACTCTTTGGGACCTTCCACCAGTTGGATCTAACTCCGTTGAGCACCACTCTTTGGGACCTTCCACCAGTTGGATCTAACTCCGTTGAGCACCACTCTTTGGGACCTTCCACCAGTTGGATCTAACTCCGTTGAGCACCACTCTTTGGGACCTTCCACCAGTTGGATTTAACTCCGTTGAGCACCACTCTTTGGGACCTTCCACCAGTTGGATCTAACTCCGTTGAGCACTGCTCTTTGGGACCTTCCACCAGTTGGATCTAACTCCGTTGAGCACCACTCTTTGGGACCTTCCACCAGTTGGATTTAACTCCGTTGAGCACCGCTCTTTGGGACCTTCCACCAGTTGGATTTGACTCTGTTGAGCACCACTCTTTGGGACCTTCCACCAGATGGATTTGACTCTGTTGAGCACCGCTCTTTGGGACCTTCCACCAGTTGGATCTAACTCCGTTGAGCACCGCTCTTTGGGACCTTCCACCAGTTGGATCTAACTCCGTTGAGCACCGCTCTTTGGGACCTTCCACCAGTTGGATCTAACTCCGTTGAGCACCGCTCTTTGGGACCTTCCACCAGTTGGATCTAACTCCGTTGAGCACCGCTCTTTGGGACCTTCCACCAGTTGGATCTAACTCCGTTGAGCACCGCTCTTTGGGACCTTCCACCAGTTGGATCTAACTCCGTTGAGCACCGCTCTTTGGGACCTTCCACCAGTTGGATCTAACTCCGTTGAGCACCGCTCTTTGGGACCTTCCACCAGTTGGATCTAACTCCGTTGAGCACCGCTCTTTGGGACCTTCCACCAGTTGGATCTAACTCCGTTGAGCACCGCTCTTTGGGACCTTCCACCAGTTGGATCTAACTCCGTTGAGCACTGCTCTTTGGGACCTTCCACCAGTTGGATCTAACTCCGTTGAGCACCGCTCTTTGGGACCTTCCACCAGTTGGATTTAACTCCGTTGAGCACCGCTCTTTGGGACCTTCCATCCAGCCAGTGCTTGACCCAGCAGATCTTACACCCATCCAGGCCCCATGAAACCAGTTTTTCCACCAAAATTGTCTGGGGGGACGGTATCGAACACTTTCCGAAAGTCCAGGTACACAATATCCACAGCCTTTCCCAGTGATCTTCTCGTAGAAGATCAGGACCTGCCTGAGATGACATCCCACCACCCCCCAGCCCCCGAGGGGTGCTCGGGCCACGTCTGATGGGGTCCAGCACCCACCAGTCACCCTTGGCCGGGCAGTGGGACCTCCCCCCTCCTCACCATCCCACCCCCATCCCACCTGCTCGGCCGCGGGGGCGAAGGGGGTGTCGGAGCCCTGTCGGCGATGGTGCTGGAAGAGGCGGGCGGTGATGACCGGGGAGGTCCGGGGACTGTCCAGGCCGTGGTCGGAGAGGACGGAGTTGCGGTTGAGGGAGATCTGTTGGGGACAACAGCATCGGTATCAGGGGACACGGGGCATGGCCACCACCAGGAGAGGTCCACCACCCCACAGAGGCACTCGGGGATGCCTCCAGAGAAGTTCCCAGGTCGGGGACCGTGAAGGGAGACGGGCCCAAGGAACTTGATGGAATCGTTGAATCGTTACAGTTGGAAGGGACCTTCTGGAGATCATCCGGTCCCACTCCCCGGCCAAAGCAGGGCTGCCCAGAGGACATCCCTCAGGAGCATCCATTGGGGCTTGAAGATCTCCAGAGAAGGGGACTCCACACCCTCCCTGGGCAGCCTCTGCCAGGGCTCTGCCACCCTCACCCCAAACAAGTTCCTCCTCATGTTTAGGTGGAACTTCTATTGTCCTCTCACTGGGAACCACTGAGAAGAGTCCAGCTCCATCCTCCTTCCACCCACCCTTTAGATCCTTGTCAGCATTAAGAAGGTCTCCCCTCAGCCTTCTCTTCTCCAGGCTCAAGAGCCCCAGCTCTCTCAGCCTTTCCTCCTCAGGGAGATGCTCCAACCCCTCCAGCATCTCTGTTGCCCTACGCTGGACTCTCTCCAGCAGTTCCCTGTCTCTCTGGAACTGGGGAGCCCAGAACTGGAGGCAGGATTCCAGTTGTGGCCTCCCCAGTGCAGAGCAGAGGGGGAGAATGACCTCCCTCCACCTCCTGGCCACACTCTTCCCTCTGCAGCCCAGGATCCCATTGGCCTCTTGGCCACCAGGGCCCATTGCTGGCTCCTGGAGAGTTTAGTGGCCACCAGGACCTCCAGATCCTTCTCCTCAGAAGTGCTTTCCAGTAGGTCCACCCCTAACTGATACTGGTGCCTGGGGTTCTTCCTCCCCAGGTGCAGGAACCTTGGTGAACCTCATGAGGTTCTTCTCTGCCCAGGTCTCTCTGGATGGTGGCCCAGCCCTCTGGATGGTGGCCCAGCCCTCCCAGTTTGATACCATCAGCCAACTGGTTGAGGGAACACTCTGTCCCCTCGTCCAGGTCATTGATGAATGTGTTGGAAACCACAAAACTCCCCTGGGGCCACCAGAACCACTTGAAGATCAGGGTGCACCTCAAGACTTTGAGGGTTCCCCTCGTTTTGGGGCAGCCAAGCATCGCGAGGCCATGAAATTCAGAGCCAAGACTTAATTAATTTATCTTCTTCGGGAGGCAAATAAATAATCCCAATCGGAACGATGGGTCCTTGACCCCTAAAGAAGACACAGACCCACCCGTGTGGGTCTTGGGACCCAGAAGAAATTGGGGTGACCCCACTTCTCACCTCGCTCACGGAGGGGAACCGCTCCGTCCCCGACTCCAACCCGCTGTCCCCGTCCTGCGAGTCCATGGAGAGGCGTCCTGGGGAGGGGGGAGGAGGAGACACTGACCCCCCCGTGTCCGGGACGTGGGAGGCAAATAAATAATCCCAATCGGAACGATGGGTCCTTGACCCCTAAAGAAGACACAGACCCACCCGTGTGGGTCTTGGGACCCAGAAGAAATTGGGGTGACCCCACTTCTCACCTCGCTCACAGAGGGGAACCGCTCCGTCCCCGACTCCAACCCGCTGTCCCCGTCCTGCGAGTCCATGGAGAGGCGTCCTGGGGAGGGGGGAGGAGGAGACACTGACCCCCCCGTGTCCGGGACGTGGGGACAACGGGGATGGACCCAACCACCAGCAGAACTCACCTTCCACCACCCTGAGACCGGAGTCGCTCCACAACCGCCCCGAGTCCTGCAAGGTGAAGGTTGGGGGGGGGTGAGTTGGACCCCAACGGGGGGTGGGGGACATTCCCCGGCCTGGGGGGGACATTCCCCATCACGTGGGGTCACCAGGAACAGGACATGGGATGGGCCAGCTCCCACCACAGCAGGTTCTACCACCTGGAGATGCCTCCACCTCTATGGGTTGGGTGGCTTTGGCCAAGCTCGGTAGGGTGGTAGGACCTCCTAGGGTGGTAGGACCTCCTAGGGTGGCAGGACCTCCTAGGGTGGCAGGACCCCCCCCAAAATTGATGGGGGATGGGGTGTGGGGGGGTGAGGAACCCCAATAATTCCACCCACCATGGAGCCACCGGTCTCCTGGAGGATTTTGAGCTGGAGTTGGCTGACCCTCCGACGCGCCCCCTCAATCTGCTCCTCCACGGTGCTGGCGGGGTTCCTGCTGTAGGCCTCGTAGAAACGCTGAGGGGGGGGGGG